TTCAAAGAGCTGAGCTTCGCATTGAAGGCCACACAAAAATAAGCTCCTTTTTCAAAGCTTCCTTTGCCAAGGTTCTCTCTTACGCTTGGACACTTGGAAATGGCCCCCAAACCAACGTGGGCCAACGTTGTAGAGTGACATCGAGACGTCAAGTTTGATTGAAATTTGGGTCTGCACTAGTCAATGGTGTGTGCTGGTATCTGGGCAATAATTCACAGTCATTAGAGCCCTGGATAGCTATCAAGACACTATCACATATACTGCTCTACCAGGTAGGAATTAGAATTACCATTCCCATCTTGCAGATAAGAAAGCTGAGGTGATTGGAGTCCCAATAGTCTCCCAAAGTCCTGAACTTCACAAATACGGAGCTAAATTCGAGCAAAATTTGAAATGAAATGAAATTCAGTCTCTGGGTTCAATATTTTTTCCATGGCCTTCAAGCACCTAAAATTTTCTTAGTCACTGAAAATGGAAAAATGACAAAGCATGTCATATCTGTAAACCGATCTTTCTCATGAATTTGTAACTATGAACATAAATGCCTCTCAGTGTCCCCATATGCCTTATTCAGTGATTTCTATATCTTCCACCCTTATTGTTACTCCTAACTACCTCATATGTACCTCGCTATCTCTTCCATTACTCTTCTACTTAACTGCTTATGGGACTAGAAAACTAGCACATCAAACATGCAAAGATAGGATATGAGTTTAGAAGAGGAGTAGGTTTTGTTTTGTTAGGATTTTTATTTGGGGGAGGGGGTTGCAGAAGGTAAAGTTAGGTCATGCCCAGCAGTGTTCAAGGTCTATTGCTGTGACTATGCTTAGGAATCACTCTTAGTGGTGCTCAGCGTAACTTTATCTAATACTATGGAAAGAACCAGGATTGACTGCATGCAAGGCAAGCATCTTAGTCCCTGGATGCTCTCTGGCCCAGAAGGATTTGAACACTTCCCCAAGGAGCTCTCAGATGAGTCTATTACATAAGCAGCAACTCCATGGCATCTCAGATGCACGGAGCATTTTCCTGCTTCAGTGCTATTTCTCCTCTCTGATGCAGAGAAAGCAAATTCTGAGATGGGCCACTTTCTGAAAAGCTAAAGTTTACTGCATTCCAGTGAGCCTGTTCTCACTTAAGGTTAGTGGCACCTTAAGAATTCAGGCATCACGGCCATCCAGAGAAAACCTGGACCCCAGATTCTTTCCCAAGAATTCAAAAGGGATAGTTACTGTGAAGTTCCACAGAAGAACACAGAAAGTCAAGACTGGATGGGAATACCAGGGGTGCAGAATGATACAAAGTTCAAAATTCTGCCCCATTTTTAACTCAAGTCTCTCAACTATAACTCCTAAAATCTGTTTTTACCTCATGTACACTCAAGACAAGGAAAAGTGTATGGCTCAGATGGAGCTGTGGCATTCACGGATATCTCATCTGTAAAATGGAGATAATTACAGTATGAACCCCATCGGGCTGCTGGAAAAATTAAATGAGATAATTATGTAAAAGGAAGCAGCAGAGAGTAGGCACTTAATAAAATTTCACTACCAGTATTATTATTGTCGTCATCATCATCATCATCATTATTATTAGGTATAGGAGAAAGAAAGGAAGAGAAAAGAAAAACGACTTTGAGTGGAGTTTTTCAAAAAGAATTAATTAAGCAGAAACAGAAAACGATTGTGTTGTCCCATTTTACTAAGCACATCTAAGTAAATTAAATTTAGGAAACGAGGCAATGCAAAGATCGAAAATAAAGAACAACTTTTTAAATGCTTCAATCATTATCAAAACAACATTAGCGATGGAGCACGCCAACCACTGTAGCGAAGGGCCCCGGGCTCATTTATGAGGGCAAAGGCTTCCTGCAAAGGAACCCATAAAATCCAAATCGAGGCAATAAGGATTGCTCGCAGAACTGTGCACAGATTTGCGAAACACACTCACTGCTTAAATGCCCCCAGTGTGGACTCAGGAAGGAATCCTAAAGAGACTGTGGATCAAGGCCAAGATGAGCTTCTGAAAGTTGCACGTAGTGGAGAAAAACAGCTCACAGAAGCTACATCATACTTCATATAACGGAAGTACTGCAGTAATATACTGACAAATTTGTTCTACCAGAATCTTGGGAAAGTGTGTGTTCAGGGGTGCAACTGTATCCCCAGTTTAAATTTGCTAGCGGGGCTGGAGCGATAGCACAGCAGGTAGGGTGTTTGCCTTGCACACGGCCAACCCAGGTTTGATCCCCAGCATCCCATATGGTCCCCTGAGCACCTCCAGGAGTGATTCCTGAGTGCATGAGCCAGGAGGAACCCCTGTACATCGCTGGGTGTGACCCAAAAAGCAAAAAATAAATAAATAAATAAATAAGCAAGCAGTGATAAGAAAAATATGAGAGTCAGAGAGAGAGTACAGCAGGTAAGGTCTTTGCTTTGCACATGGCCAATCTGAGTTGGAGCCCTGATATTGCATAGGGTCCCCAAATACCAGCAGGAATGATCCTGAACACAGAACCAGGAGTAAACTCTAAGCACAGTTGAGTGTGGTAAAAAACAAAAAGAAAAGAACAAAAAGTTGGGATTGCAGAGTTAGTACATGAGGTAAGGCACTTGCCTTGCATGAGGCCAAGCTTGGTTAGATCTCTGACACCACAGAAATTCTACTGAGCACCACCAGGAGTCACACCTGAGCACAAGTAGCCCCTGAGAACCACTATATGTATTCCCAATTCCCCGCAGCCCCCACAAAAGTGGCTTTCTTTATCTTTGCAATTAGTACTATATCATCTTATAGTGGTCTAGTGGCTATGTCTGGATTCTCCAAATATTTGTTTCAGAAACCACTTTGGGCATGGGGGAGGTAAGAGAGAAAAGATCAATTTCCCTACACATGTGACAAAAGGCCTGAAGGTGTAGGACCATGGTTTTTATTTTCTTGCATTTTTTTCTAAAATCCAGACAGAACAATCAGAAAATAAAATGAAACAAGATACACAGCTAGTATGGTTGTAGTAGACATGGTGAAGGATACCCGTAAGGGCTTCTGATTCAGCAAGCAGTCACCATCTTTATTTGCAATGGGGTCCTTGTACGTCTCTCCACAGTTTGAGAAGTGTTTGTGAGAGAGAGAGAGAGAGAGAGAGAGAGAGAGAGACATGGAGGGAAGAAATCTTAAATATCTACTACCCTTCCTGTCACTTTCCACTTTCTTTTCACAAAACTGCCATGCTACACAGGACACACCCAAAGCTAATCTGATCGATATCTTGCCAGAATTTCCTTTCCCCCCTAGTGTGCTGGTCCAGCCTGGAAAACACAAATATATACAAGGCAGGACAGAAGGGAATATTGCCACCCCAGGTTCTTAAATGGGCCTTCCCTGCCCACTGGAATAACACAGTTATCACCTACCACTCCCCTCCAACCAGACACTGAGAGCAAGATGAACCTGGATACTCTGGAAATTAAACAAGTCACTCCCACCCCATTCTTCAAGAAAGGCCCCTGATTCCTCAAAGGGTAAAATTCCAGTTCCTACTTCAACCCAATACTTGTTTCTCCACTTGTTCCCACACTACTTTTAACCAGCAGTTCAGCCCCCAAGCCAATTTAAGAAGTACATGAATGGTACATGTATTTTTAAAATCAACTTAAATTATTCATTCTATTGCCAAATTGTTAGCCTCAACACACTCTTCACAAGAGTCTGACTGCATAAATAGGTTAACAAATACTTCAAGCATCTATAGTGTACTTTACATAATCAACCCAACATCCCCTGTGGGGCTGACCCAAGAAACTGTGGTGAAGGTGTGCCTTATTAGCTAATATGAATCGTTTTCCATGGCTAATTCAACAAAAATTATTGTAATACATAAAATAAGTTATAATCAACCCACCTTACAATTCAAAAGGATTAATTCGTCTAAAGGGGACGTGCAGCTCAAGATTTGAAATGTCAAGTAGGCAAATGTGCTATTTTGCGATCTGACCCCCACAGCTTTCTTTGTGGGACAAGAAAAATGCAGCTGATTCCATCTACTTAAGGAAAGATAGACAAAAACGCCAGTCTTCATAATGATCTTTCCCTCTGCTAAGGCAGCATGTGCAAGTATTTAAAAGCACTGGCTTTAAAAACCAGGCCACCTAGGTTCAAATCTGCTTTCATCATTCAGTAATTGTATAGTAGTTACCTACCGGTTCTGTGCCTTCACTCAAGGCCCATACGTTGGAGGTGGCTAATAAAATCACACTTCATTCATAGGATATCTTGTGAAGATGAATGAATAAATGAATATATGCAAAATATTTGAAAGCGTACAGAGCACACAAGGCCACCTAGGTTCCTGCCTCCATCATAATCCTCCTCCTCCTCTTCTTCCTCCTCCTCCTCCTTCCTCAGCAATAGCACCAGTTGAGTCACTGAATCAAGGGGGGCTATTCCTCATCCCGCTGTGAGATAAGAGAATGGATCTCCCCCCCATTATGGTCATGGCACAATATCTTTGTTCACAGACAGACACAAGTGTAGGAAGAACTGAAGACTCAGAGAGAAAGAAGAAATCACCACTCACACCAACGACAAGACAGGGTCCAGCCAGCCAGTTTCTCTCTCTTAAACAGAAATGGCCCTAGTGGTCAGAAGGAGCTGTTCCAAGTTCCAGGAAGATCTAATCTACTGCTGGAAAAAAACCTGGTAGTTCAACGTTTGGATTTTTTAAAGTCTTCCAGGTTCTCTGCCTGAGATGTGAATACAGGCAAACAAAATCATCTTGGATAATGGCTTTTTTTTTACAACAGCCACCTTTCCAAAGATTGCAATGAAGCTTCTCTACAAATAGTGTTTTTTTTCTAAACCAGAATCTCTCAGGGGGAGGTTTTGATAACAAGCACGCATGCTGGAATGCTAACTTAGATATCAGACTTAGCATTTAAAAGCTCAGTGCCCAAATAATGACTGTATTGAGCTACATATCTACGATGATCCCGAGAACTCACCTTGGAAAACTGCAGCGTTCTGAATAATTAAGAACTTGAGCTCCATACTTGCAGACTGAAGCAGTTGTTCCATGTTCAAGCGAGCGGTTAGTTGGTATTTTTCTTCCATCTTTCTTGAGCAGCATGTTGGGCCCTTGGGGAGACACACTTGCAGATCTGATCCTGAAACAAATAAGTTTTTCACATTTCAGTAAGTAGACTGTCTTACACACACACAGGAGGCAGGACAAAAGGAACATTTCTTTTCAAATACAGTCAAATCGTGGGCCAAGCAATAGGACAGCGGGGACAGTGTGCACCTTGCACATGGCTGACCCCAGGTTCGGTCCCCAGCATCACATATAGTCACATAAGCACCGCCAGGAGTTAATTCCTGAGTGTAGAGCCAGAAATAACCTCTGAGCACTGCTGGATGTGGCCCAAAAACCAACAAATAATCTTTTTAAAAAATACAGTCAAATCGTGATTATTCACACTTAGTGTTTATCTTACCTAATTCCTGTTTTCTTGCAATTACCCTTAGGCTATATTCCTTTTGGAATAACCACCAGAATTGCCTGAATTTGACTCATAAATTCTGCACCGAGTAATTTATAGCACCAAGTATACGTCATTGAACACCAATATTTAACGTGCCTGTTAAAAGACTCATCTTCTCTCATATAATGTACTTTTCCTGATTATAATTTATGAATGAGGATCCAACTAAGATGCGATGTTAACATTTTGGTGATGATTTCCTAATGTACTATGTCTGTCCAACCTGAAGCTAATTTGGGAGAGAAACGATTGACTCATCAATATAATATCAAAGGGAAGTTTGTTTCTTTAACTAAAGATCTGGGGCAAGAAACACCAGGAGGAGAAAATGAACTGTCATACCAGCACCGAAATCCCTTACTAATGCCAACACTGTAGCGCCATTATAAATGCCAACAACCTTTTGTCCCTCTGAACTTCTGAGTTTACTTTGGTAACTCTCATAAAATGCAGAATTCTTTTAACATTTTTACATCTCCATAAAGATTTTGCAAGACAGAATCACTTCATTTATTCAAAAACTAGGTTATTAGAACCTCTTCTCGGTACTCCAACATATCTAGCCCTTACTTCTTTCTTGGGTTCCAAACTCCCAAATTTTCAACTACTCAACAAGAATCTCCAATTCAGCATCCCTAACAAGGAACTCAATATATCTCATTCTTGAGTCAGAGAGTACAGGGGTTAACACAATTGCTTTGCATTCAGCCGACCCCAGTTTAATCCCCAACACCATATATAGTCCACCCAAGCATCACTATTAGTGACCCCCAAGCATGGAGCTAGGAGAAGTCCTGAGAATCACTAGGTATGACCCAAGCTACCCTTCTGGAAATATGTGTGTGTGTATGTATAGAGAGCTATTTCTCATAGACACATACACACAGTTCAGTCTGCTGTGTTCTGCATCTCAATTCATGATCTTCTCCCACCAAATTTCCCAAAGACAGAAACATTTGAAATTCTCAGTTCTTCACCAAGGACTTCCAAGAACTTCTCCAAGTATTGGCATCATCAGCATATGAATGAAGTGAGAAGGTAAGAGTCATTTTACAAAATATTAGGCACAATGCAAGCACTTTAGATTTAGCACTATACAAAGTTCCTACCCTCATAGACCTTACCTCGGGGAGGAAAAAAAAGCATGTTTTACACACACACACACACACACACAAAATGTTAAGGGATGACAAATACCAAAGAAATAAAATAAAGGAAGGTTAAATAAACCAGGCGCGTACATCTAGTGGAATACCACTCATCAACAAAAAAGTTAAACATTACTACATAGTATGGCATAAGTGAACCCCAAAACTATGAGGTTAAGTGAAAGAAGCCAGATCCAAAAATACATATTGTATGGTTTCATGTACAGACAAGTCCAAAAAATAAAATTTAATCATAACAGAAAGTTGTTGGGTAGGGATTGGGCACAGGGAGAAAGTAAGAAAGGAAAAGGAATGAAAGATACAAAAATCAATCAAAAAAGAAAGATGATACAAAGTAGCGAGGAAATTAAGGAGTGTTAGACAAATGTTTATTACCCTGATTATGGCCCCTGCTTCATGGCTGGAAAAGATATGTCAAAACTATCAAATTTTACTCTTAAAGTAAGCATGGCTGATTATCTGTCAATTAGAATTCAATAAAGTGGCTACGTGTTTTTTGTTGGTTGGTTTGGTTTGATTTGGTTTGGGGGGCCACACCTGGTGATGCTCAGGAATAACTCCATAGGTCTGTGATCAGAAATCATTCCATTTAGATTTAGCACTATACAAAGTCCCTACTCTCATACATCTTACCTCGGGGAGACAACAAAAAGCAAGTTTTTACACATATATGAACACACACACACACACACACACACATATATATATATATATAAAATCAGGGGACCACTTGGGAAGGTGGGGATTGAACCCAGATCAGCAGTATGAGAGGCAAGCACCCGACCCACTGTCCTATCACTCTTAATCAACGTGTTTTTAAGGTGAAAAAGGCAGGAGGGGGTAGCTAGAAATTGTAAGGTTTGTGGGGATGGTTTTATTTATACACAGTAGTTAAGAAAAGCTTCTTTTATAAGGTGACATTTAAGAAGAGATTTCAGGGAAGTGACATTTGAGAGAAGTGAGGGTGAGTCTCATGAATTTATATCCTCCACCAACTCAAGCAAATAGTAGGATTCAATGAATCTGAAGTCCAATCTGCTTCCCCTGCAACACTAGTTTGACTTCAACTCTTCAGTAGCACTTGATTTGTTTCAATTTGGGGGGAACACTGGGTGGTGCTTAGAGACTATTCCTGACTCTGTGCTCAGAAATGATCCCTGGCAGTGCTCACAGGACCAAGTGGTGCTGGGGCTCAAACCATAGTCCACCGTATATAAGGCCAGATTCTTATCTTCTATACTATCTCTCAAACCTCAGTAATACTTGAATTCCTTTGTTGGCACTGCGGAAACACACATGATGTGTGTCCTGCTCACCATGTTTCAAAGTCCCAAAGCGGAGGCAGCTGCTACCAGCCCATGATTGAGCCTGGCAAAGATGTTAAGTCCCATGAGACACAAGACTCTGTTTACAGGTCATCTTTTGTGATGAGCTCCCTCCGGAGGGAGGGGATTGATGCCAGAAACCATGGCTCAGGATTTCTTTCTGGTTCTGTGCTGAAGGATCACTCTTGGTGGTGCTTGGGGATGCTGAAGCTCAAACTGGTTTGGCCATGTGCAATGCAAGCTCCATGCTCACTGTCCTGTCTCTCTCAAAGTAATATTCTTAAAACTACCACAGTGTGAAATTCTGCACACGCAGATTTCCCTTCTTTCCTTCTGTCCTCACAAAGGGCCAGATGGGCACAATCTTCTGATGGCTATTCCAACAACCTTCTTCTCCCCGCTTACTTGCCTTCACAGGTGTCTCCTGTACAAATCTCCTTCACACTGGCAATACTGTTTTGCCATCTGCTTCTCAGAGGCCTGAGTGTAATGTCAAGCTCTGTGCTATGGTGGAAGACCAGTTTGGAACAATACAGAAAGGCCCCACTTCCAACGAGCTCACTCTCTAGAGAGGGTTAATGGGACAAATACCTAGTATCTGGTCAATGAATGCAAGAGAGCAATATGGCTAGGTTAATAGCAGGTGGATATAGCATATAGGAATGACTCTCCCAAACCCCACAAGGTACACGTTCAGTAATAAACAGCCAATCTTGGGGCCGAGCCATAGAACAGCATGTAGGGTGCTGGCCTGGCACATGGCCAACCAAGGTTTAATCACTGGCTCCCCATACCCCCGAGCACTGCCAGGATTGCTCACTGAATTCAAAAATCCAGTGGAAGCCCTAGGCACTGCCAGTTGTGGCCCCCAAACCAACAATGAAGAAATCAACTGCAAACTTTAGAGCTGGGGAGTTAGCACAGGGGTTAAGGCACCTGTCTTGCACAAGGCCAACTTGGGAATGGCAGATAGTCTCTCCAAGCCCCACCAGGACTGACCCTAAGCACAGAGTCAGGAGAAAGTCCTGAGCACTTTCAGGAGTGGCCGTGAAATCAAATGATGAGATACAAATAAACACCAAACCTTCTGGAGTAATGCAAGACAATGGGCTCAGGCATTATACATAGCTTCTCAAGAACTAGGGTTTTCAGAAAAGCTGAGAGGAGTATCAGAAAAAAAAATTTTATTCGACTCTCTTATTTCCCTAGGAATTCTAGTTAATCATGACCTGAATATGTGTATCTACATTTTCTTTGATTAACTTGGACAAGAAATTCATCAACCTTGGTTCATATAACCACTTTCAGAGTCCAGAATATTGGCTCCTAGCTTTTCACTTTCCACTCCTCAAGGGATCTGCTGATAAAAAAAAATTTAAGGGATCGCTCATATAATGCACATGACCCAACAAAATCCGTAGCGAAATGTAATGGAAGGGATGCAAAGTTGATGCTAAATGTGTCAAGATATACCTTGGGGTCTGGAGACATAGAATTCAGATTTAATCCCCTATAAAATTCAATCTCATAACCAAGGTTTAAACCACATTTAAGGCTGGAGAGATAGTACAGTGGGTACGGTGCTTGCCTTGCACGCAGCTGACCCACATTCAACTCCCGGCACCACCAGGAGAGATCCCTGAGCACTGCCAGAGGGTAGTGCAACAAAATAAGCAACAAAACGGCTTTTAAAGAGAATATGTTTAAAGACTTACTTTGGTTCTCCCCAGGAAAAGAAAAACCAGAATTGTTCTAGCCCACTGTGTTCTTTCTACATGATGTTACAGAATCTAAGGCCATTCTAAGACTACAAACGGATGCGGTTTACTGGACCAAGAAGGAAAAGTTCCCTTGGGGAAGAGGAGCTTATTTAAATTCAAACAAGGTTGGTGGGGATACATGTGTAGATATGGAAAATTCTATACAGCAGATACTCCATATACCAAGTTCCTGTCCATTTAGCAAGGTTTTATGACTTTCCTGATACACTGATACCTGTGTATTTAAAATGTCAGTAGTGCAGGAGTTCATAAAATTAAAGATTAGAGATAAAATCCTTTTTGAGTCTCAATTTCTCTTGGTGAGGGGCCAGAGAGATGGTATAACAGATAAGGTGCTTGTCTTGCAC